ATCATGTTGAATGCTTTTCAATCTTAGCTGCAAAGAAGTCTGAGAAATGTAGATTTTATCTTTTTAGCCTCTGCAATAAAGAAAAGCACACTAGAAGGGTTTGGAATGATGGTAAGCACCAATCCACCTTATTCCCTAAGGAAGCCATGAAGGATGAGAAATAAAAGAGAAAACATAGACTTAACCTTTGTATACATTGAGTTTGAAATGGTTAAAACTGAATTCATTATCCCTCTACCCCCCAAACTATCTCCCCACTCTGAATTTCTAGTTTCCATTAAAGTTACCATTATTCTGTGAGTTACCTAGTACGAAAACCAGTGTCCTGTATTTACCTGGCATCCAAAAACTACTTCTCAGTAATAAAAGTGATATTTTCCACTACAAAAGTAGTTTGAAAATACATAACTAGGAAAGGCTCTTATCATCCCAGTTGCAACTCTTTGCACTGAAAATTATAAGGGTTAGCAAATTAAACTGTTCTGACAGAGCTACTAATATCACTTCTGTAACAATGATTGCCCACCTTTTTTTTCTGTTTCAAAAGACTTAAGGGAAACATTTTCTGAGTAACAATGGCTCACTATGTCTCAAGCAAAGGAGTAGGAAACTCCATATTGTATGTCTGATAATCTCTGGAGTTGTGGTATTACAATGTGCATTTTCTCCACTGAAAATGCTGCTTGTCTGGGTGTGGTGGCTAATGCCTATAAATCCCAGCGCTTTGGGAGGCCAAGGTGGATGGATCATTTAAGGTCAGGAGTTCGAGACTAGCCTGCCTGACCAACATGGTGAAACCTCGTATCTACTAAAAATACAAAAAATTAGCCAGGTGTGGTGGTGAGCACCTGTAGTCCCAGCTACTCAGGAGCTGAGGCAGGAGAATGGTGTGAATCCGGGGGGCAGAGGTGGCAATGAGCTGAGATCGTGCCATTGCACTCCAGCCTGGGCGACAGAGCAAGACTCAGTCTCAAAAAAAGAAAAGAAAAGAAAAAGAAAATGTGGCTTAATTCTATCAATAGTAATAAAAAATTTACTCATAATAAAGATGGTATTGGATTCATACCAGCCATTGATAAGCTATAAGCATTTCATGCAGTGGTTAAAATTAAAGCTGTATTCTTCAGGTATGAGTTATAAAAATAAATGCATTCAATTAAAATATCTTCGAAATATACTAATGCAAATTATAATGCATATGGCAATAAATCATCAATAAATATTAAGTAAAACAAAGGTCAGAAATGTGGAAATACTAGAGCAGAGTTGGAGCCTCCTATTCAGACTTGATTGATTCAGTACTAATAAATGGATAGAAAAGTATTTTAGAGATCCTCAATTATTGTAAAAAATGTGGATTTTTACTCAAATGACATTATAACATAGAGGACTCAATAGATCACTGACATTTTGGTTTATATGAGCTAACTGTTATACTTTACCCAAAGTCGTTAAGTTATATTTGCCATAAAACCTGATTTATAACAATCTTCTGTGACACAGATGCTACCGATGGCTGTAATATTGGGCTCCAATAGTTTAATAGTAACATGATTATTCTACAAGGCAACACAAGAATCATATGTCAACCAATAGTCACATATATCAGAAAAAAGGAAACTCCTGTCACAATGGAAGCTAATAATTCTCCAAACTAGAATCATATTTTTCATCTGGAAGCTATTCAGTAAATAAATGATATTGCAATCTACTTATAACCAACCCCTACTTCAACACAATCTTTCCCTTGGAAAAACTGTTTCTTGTTGATACTGAATGTATACAAATAACTACAACAGGACAAATGCTATAAAAAAGAAATCATACAAAGTGCGTTGGGAAAGCAGAAATGAGAGTAATAACCTTTTTTTGTGTGTGGGGGGAGGGTGAAGAAAGATTCAGGAAATTAGGAAATCTTCAGAATTAAGGATAGATTCAGCCTGGGTCTTGAAGGATGGGTAGGACATTACCATATAAACAAAGGGAAGGAGGGGCATCTAAGCAGAGTACAGTGACTGAAAAGGTATGAGGAGATAGGGAAGATCATAGGGTATTCAGGCAACTGAGAATAAATGAAATTACCAGAGCAAAGGGTATTTTGAGAAGTTATTATTTAAAAGGGCCCTGCTATGAAGGACCAGTGTGCCATGCTTGAGCCCATTGTTTGTATTCAATAAATATTCAATGTTCAATGAAAAAAATTTAAAAAGAAATCTCAAAAGCAATGAAAATCCATTAAAGTCTTTTCAGTAGGGGAGTATCTTGATTAGGCTGAATTTTAAATGAATTGGAGAAGAAAAAGAGTGGAAACTAGGAGACCACTTAAAAGCCTTTTGCAGCTCTTCGGACAATAAGTCATGTAGTCCATCGTCTCATTGTATAGGTGAGGAAGCTATGATACCAGAGAAGTCAAGTGGTTTGTTCAAGGTCTCAAGAGCCAGTTAGTAGCAAAATTAGCTTCAGCCCTATGTCCAAACATATTTTCTACTGTATTTCCTTACCTACAAATTTATTATTCACTGCCTAAGACTTGAGATATCTGTAAGAGGATTTCCATTGTAATGGTGCAGTGGTACAATGATACTAGTAATTGCAGACAAGACTAACTGGTTAATATGGTTTAAGAAAGATTTTTGCATTTTGTAGTCTTTTTTAGGGAGATTCTTGGTATATTAAAAATGAATTTGATGTATAAATCAGTAGACCAAAGTAACTTACCGCATCTGATTAGCTGTTTTTAAATTGTTGCTTATTTTTTTAAAGGCAAAAAAACATAACCAAGTGCTTATTTGACAACAAGAAAAAAAACTCCTCTTTACATTTTTCTAGAGGTATTATTTTCTCTTGCCTATGAAACTTTCTGGCCATAAAGTCAGTATCTAATCACTGATGATCCCCAGCATTCTATCTTTCTCTGTCCTTGCTGCTGCTTTTCATTTTTCAATTCTTAATCCTTCCTTTCACTTCCCCCCTGTATTACAACAACTAACAGCTGCCAAGAAAGTGGATTAGATCATATATTCAATCAGGAGGTTTTCCCGTTACTCAAGTCACTTTTTTAGTATACTGAAACTAAAAAAACAGTTATGGTTTTTGTCTCAAAAAATTAAGTTGGACTTATATTTTATTATTTGAAGGTTGGGTAGCAAGAAGCAGGTCTAAACTTATAAAAGCAAAGCAGTAATTTTGAATCTTCAACTCCCTATGTCTGTCTCTAGCTGTTTTCATTTTGATAATACATCTGAACACTCTCCTCTAACTTACTGATAATCAGTCTGTATTGTTCTACCTTACTTTGTAGACAATTTGGCATCTCATATCCCACTGCAGGATCAGTGGGACCCACACTGGTGGAGAAAACCATGCAGTCTCTCCATTAGGAAAGGAGAATCAGACTGAAGACTCCTGGCTTGCTCTGATTTCTAATAATAGGCTGGTCTCACTGGGCCCAGGCTGTTCTAAATCTAGAGTAGTTCTGAAATACTGAGTGTGAAATAGGCAATGGTACAAATTCTTAGGACCCCTGTAAGACAAATCAAAATTCCTTCTAATATTCTTTTCTCCCATCATTTCCTGCACTGTGCTAGGTCAAATCCAATCTCTTAAGGGCCATTTCCTACATGCAACCATTGAGTGCACTTTGGCCCCAGTATAGCTTTATAAATCTCACTAGATAACTGTGGGAACTCCATCCATGAATCATAGTATCAATAGTATTCATGAACTCCATCCATGAATCAATGGTCTGCAGCTCAGAAAGCAAAAAGAACAAAATAAAAGTTTGAAAACTTACAGCTTTCTCTGCCAGATATTTTTTGCCAAATATCTTAGACTCCTTTGTGTTGCTGTAACAGAACACCCACAGACTGGTAACTTATAATGAACAGAAATGTATTTGGCTCATGGTTCTGGAGGCTGGAAGGCAACATCTGATGAGGACCTTCACGCGGCATCATTCCATGGCAGAAGATAGAAGAGCAAGAGAGGGTGATAGCATGCCAGAAAGTGCCAAACTTGATTTTATAAAAAACCCACTTTCAGGCCAGGTGCAATGGCTCACACCTGTAATCCCAGCACTTTGGGAGGCCACAGCAGGAGAATCGCTTGAGCCCAAGAGTTCGAGACCAACCTGGGCAACATAGGGAGATACTGTCTATACAAAAAATGAAAAAGTTAGCTAGGAGTGGTGGCACTTGCCCTGTAGTCCCAGCTACTTGGGAGGCTGATATGTGAGGATTGTTTGAGCCTGAGAGGTCAAGGCTGCAGTGAGCTGTGATTGCATCAGTGTATTCCAGCCTGGGCAACACAGCAAGACCCTGCCTCTGAAAAAAGAGAAAGAAACCCACTCCCACAGCATTAATTTATTAATTCATTCATGAGGGCAGATGCCTCATGACTTAACCCCCTTCTAAAGGTCCTATTTCTAAACACTGTTGCATTGGGGATTAAGTTTCTAACACACAAACTTTGGAGGACACATTCAAAACATAGTACTAAATATTCATTGTGAACTCATGTACTTGGAATACCTACTGGCAAAAATAAAAAAAGAAAAAAATTCCATATTCCATGTTCCCATAACTGTGGTTTATATTTAGTGAAGCATCAAATGGGCATGAGATAGAACTATTCTTTTTATTTACACAAAACTTGGCCCTGAAATATTTAACCAACAGAAATAGTACTAATAAAATTATTCTATGAAGCAATTTTTAATGAAGCAGAGTTTATTCAAGTCATGTCTTCTGCAAATAAAAATGGACAGCAATAAACAAAACCAAAGGTAGAAAGAATAACTATGTTCTTGATGTCTCCCCTAAAGTTCACAATCTCTACACCTGTTTCTTTCATCTTCGGTGATGTTAATCTTCTGTTTATTTTGCTGCTTTAAATCTAAGCACATGTAGATTACCCAGAGATTGCTCTCTAAAAGTCAGATTACACCTGTTCTTTCTTACCTCACAAAAAGTAATGGAAAAAAAAGTGTGCGTGTGTGTGTGTGTGTGTGTGTCTGTGTGTGTCCTGTTGGTGGTTAAAAAGCAATTTGGGACTTCCTCTTTGAACAGTTGCCTTTTCCTCTCACACAAGGAGGATTTCATTTTGTTTGAGACGAGAAACCAAACCACACACCAAAGAGAGGGGTATGATGGCTAAGAAGCCCCCAAAACCAGCCCCTCGCAGGATCTTCCAGGAAAGGTTAAAGATTACTGCTCTACCTTTGTACTTTGAAGGTTTTTTGTTAGTCAAGCGGTCAGGATACCGGGTGAGTCTATACATGATAATGTTAAACCTAAGACTTCTCTTTTAATTTAATATTTATTTCATGGTGATGTGATGTGTTGAGACCCCCTTGTTTCTGCTGAAATTAAATCATCTTCTCTTCTTTGAGCTCAGAAATGATTCCAATTTTTCATAATTTAAATACAATGTCTGGCTTAAACCTGTATGTCTATGAATATATAATATGTATAATAACACAGGTTGTAATATTAAGGCACTAATATAAAAAATTCAATAAGCTAAATTTACAAAGAATTCCAAAGAATTTAAATATCACAGAAGACTTTGGCTTGGGAGATAAAATGTTTCCTGTATTTTCTCCACAATTTATTGCTATGCTTCAATGATGAGATGTACCATTAAGATAAAATATCATTATTGAAATTAAACCTGCTTCTGTTCTCAGTCATTTGAAGTTTATAATGATCAAATTATTAAAAATGGCTTTTGTAAAAATTGTTAAAATGACAAAGTTCGTACTGTTTAACATTATATAGTGTTATGTGTTCTAAAATACTATTCAAGATAGTGGCTTTTAATTTTTGGGGTACTACTGTGGATATTAAGTACACTAAGCTACACAAATACCTTTGCTCTAAGAAAATCCATGAAGCATTCTGTATTTTTAAATGTAATAATTAAAACTTATAGTTAGTTAAAATCATTACTTTTAAAATAGTAATTATGGATGACTTGAAATTAATTAGAGAAATGAGCCCAAAATTGCCTGTTATTAAAGAAAAAATCATTAACTTACGTCAAATTTTATGAAATTGTATATTGACTAAAACTAGAAAAACTTTAAGGTTTTCAGAAATTCCATCAGAAATGTTTAATGATGATAAAATATATTTTCTGAGGATTTATGAATACTTATGGAAAAATTATATATATGAAAAATCTGTAAGAGCATATTCATATTTCTTACATATATAATCAGATCATTTACTATTTGAGAGTAAAGACATGGTAATTTGTATTCTGTTATGGATGTTAAACATGCATAAATAATTATCTTTCAGTTATATTAGAATATTTTCAGGTTGTTCCTACATGCTTTTAATGTAAATTTAATCTTGTCACCACAGGTAAGCCACATAGTCACACTTTGCCAGGAAAGGGAAGTTGAGGAAAAAAAAAAAATCTAATTTGTAATTTAAATTTGGTTGTTCATTGAATGTTTTCCAAGTGTTTGTAATAACTGTTTATGATAGCAGTTTTTTTTTAAATGCTTAAAGAAGGTACGTCATTGGTATGGTTAGCAGAAAGAATAAGAATTTTAGAGTGTCTTTATCTGATGGTTTTGCCACTTACTGCTCGTTATCTTGTGCAAGTTACTCAATCTCCTTGAGACTGTTCCTTCAACTATAAGATAGAGAGTACACTACTTGCTACTTGCCTCCTAAGGCACATTCTGGGACACAGTAGTGTTCAAGCAATTTATTCACTCAGCATTTATTGTGTGCCTTCTATGCACCAAGCATCACTTTTATTTCTGGAGAATATGAAAAAAACACAAAGATTTTATTTTCAAGAGGCTTAATATAGTAGGAATGATGTCTTCCTTACTGAATTTCTACTCTTTACCTTCTCTTAGAAAGCATTATTTGAAGCAGAATGAATAACCATAGGCATAAATATTTCCAATGAAATTAACTTGTTTCTATTTGAATTTATAATAAAGTACCTGTGTGTGTGTGTGTGTGTGTGTGTGTGTGTGTGTGTGTGGCAGTGTCTCCTCTGTTGCCCAAGCTGGAGTGCTGTGGTGCAATCACTAGTCATGCAGCCTCAACATCCCCGGCTCTGGTGATTCTCCTGCCTCAGCCTCCTGAGTAGCTGGGACTACAAGTGCGTACCATACCCAGCTAATGTTGGTATTGTTTATAGAGACAGGGTCTCATCACGTTGTTCAGGTTGGTCTCAAACCCCTGGGCTCCAGCAACCTGCCCACCTTGGCCTCCCAACGTGCTAGAATTACAGGTGTGGGCCACTGAGTTAGGCTACAAAGTACCTTTTACTTGTATGTCAGGGAGAAGAGAGCAAGAGGATGACAATAATGCCTACTTATGTTGTGGTTTCAGGGATAGCATATGTAAAACACCTGGCTCACACTAAAGGTTAGATTCATTCTCTTACCCTTTCATCACTTACCATATTCTTACTCATGTGCTAAAATTAGTTTGAGGTCTACAAGTAATATGGCTCAAAGGAGAGTGAGCATGGTGATAATTAGAGTACTTGAAAATAGTAGCTATGAGAAAAATCTAAGGAAAATATGTGGAATTTCCAAGCAATTGGCAGCAAAGTGCCAGGGAATCTTTGAACAGAAGGTGAGCCACAGGTATATAGCCAAGTAATCTTCGGAGCTGATTGGCTGGAGGAAGTTGAGAGGCTCTGCAGAATGTAAAGTTGGGTCTCTGCCAAAGTCATTTAGAACATTTAAACTAGAAAAAATATAACTGATGAGTAACCTGGTCTATAAAGGCATTGAATGTTGAGAGGTGTTTCTTAGCCATTTTTTTTGTGGGGCACTTTTAAGTATTTAAAGAGCTTTTCCCCAGGAAAATGTACCAGTGTATACCATTTTGCATGCAATTATAGAAGGTTTCTAAATCTGAGGTCAAGAACCCATGAAAAACACATAATCTTTATGGAAAAGATAATGTGGGAAGATTTATTTAAACCACATCACTATGATTCTGGATTAACCAGGAAGATGTATTTGATAATAAAAACTATTAAATGCCACAGTGGAATACCAATGGCCTTGCAGTTCTTACAAATGGGAAAATTGCTCATTTTTTCTGGGACCGTTTGAAAATAAGACAGTTTGAGTGGGCCAGGCACCATGGCTCATGCCTGTAATCCCAGCACTCTGGGAGGCCCAGGTGGGCAGATCACGAGGTCAGGAGATCGAGACCAACCTGGTCAACATGGTGAAACCCCGTCTCTACTAAAAATACAAAAATTAGCTGGGTGTGGTGGCACATGCCTGTGGTTCCAGCTACTAGGGAGGCTGAGGCAGGAGAATCACTTGAACCCGGGAGGCAGAGGTTGCAGTGAGCTGAGATGGCACCACTGCACTCCAGTCTGGAAACAGAGCAAGACTCTATCTTTAAAAAAAAAAAGAAAGAAAAGAAAGGAAGAAAAAAGAAAAAGAAAATAAGAGAGAGTTTGGGCAATGTCTCGTAATTCCTTCAATCTGTGATGTGCTAAAATAAAAAAACAAAAACAAAAACAAAAACTGTGTGTGTTGACCGGGCGCGGTGGCTCACGCCTGTAATCCCAGCACTTTGGGAAGCTGAGGCAGGCGGATCACGAGGTCAGGAGACCGAGATCATCCTGGCTAACACGGTGAAACCCCATCTCTACTAAAAATACAAAAAAATTAGCTGGGCGTGGCGGCGGGAGCCTGTAGTCCCAGCTGCTGGGGAGGCTGAGGCAGGAGAATGGCCTGAACCTGGGAGGCTGAGCTTGCAGTGAGCCGAGATCGCGCCACTGCACTCCAGCCTGGACTACAGAGCCAGACTGGTCTCAAAACAACAACAAAAACAGTGTGTTTAATATGTCTTATTAACCTGAATATAAGCATGGGATCATCATAACTATATCAAAATCGTATTCCTCTGACTAATCTACTCACCTCTAATTCATTTAGTGAAACTCCGTCTCTACTAAAAACACAAAAATTAACTGGGCGTGGTGGTACACGCCTGTAATCCCAGCTATTGGGAAGGCTGAGGCAGGAGAATCGCTTGAACCCGGGAGGCAGAGGTTGCAGTGAGCCAAGATCGTGCCACTGCACTCCAGCCTGGGTGACAGAGCGAAATTCTGTCTCGAAAAAAAAAAAAAGTAAATTTTTTGCTGTCTAAGTTGTGCTCACAAACAGTTCTCTACGGCAGTAATCTCCGAATTTTAAAATAACACACTCCTTTCAGGGAAACATTTTGAGCACAGATCCTTAAAATAAGAATATTGATTCATTTAGAAATTATAAACATATATAGTCCCATACTATTACTCCATGTAAATTAAGATATATAAAAAATGAATTAAGAAACATAAAATATAATTAAATATTCTAAAATTTTCTCTCCCAATGGATCATCTTGCACACCTTTGGAATTTATGCATCCCATTTTGGAGACCACTATACAACGTTCTTCCTTAGGTAAATGTACTTTATTTGCTCACAAAAAAAGAAAGAATGAGAGCTTTTTATTGGGGAGAGGGGAAGAGAAACTTAACTAGAGCTTGCATTGTAATTCATTTTTGCTAGTTAATTCATTTTTGCTAGTTAATTCATTTTTGCTAGTTATATTAATGAGAAAAGAGCACTGGGGAGGCAAGAGATAAAAGTATCAGTCCAATTCTAGAATTTGGGCTATTCCTTCACATTTTTAAATCTATTCCCTCCTTTCTGAAAAGAATAATTACTTCTTGCATAGCTGAATAGGTTGCTCCAATGACTAAGTGGACTATATAATAATGAGTACAACCTTTTGAGGTATAACATACAATGGATACCATTCTAGGCTCTTAGAGTTCTGTCACTCTGATCCTTACAGTAACTCTTCTGGGTAGAAATTATTTTATTCACTTCACAAATGAGTGAGTAGGTGGGGCATGCTGGCTCATGCTTGTAATCCCAGCACTTATGAAGGCCAAGGCAGGAGGACTGCTTGAGGCCAGGAGTTGGAGATCAGCCTAGGCAACATAGCAAAACCCCATTTCTACAAAATCAAAAAATTAGCCAGGTGTGGTGGCACACCCTGTATTCCCAAATACTCGGGAGGCTGAAGTGGTAGGATCACTTGAGCCCGGGAGTTCGAGGCTGCAGTGAGCTATGATTGCACTACTGCACCCCAGCCTGAGCAACAGAGCGAGACCCTGTCTCTCTAAAACAACCCCAAATAAACAAATGAGTGAGTTCTGGCCACAGAGTTTATTCAAGGTTCCTCTTCCATTAAGGAGGCTAGCTTG